CTGTGCACTTGCATCTCATCGTTATAGCAAGGCAAAAACATAAGTTTATCCTTCGTCCTTAATATTCTGCATTATCTGCGCCATTTTATCGATGCATTATCACTATCAAACAACTATTTAAACTCCTGAACACATTTCAGCCATTTATAATATTCGAAATGACATGAAGTCACGCACACAAAAGCACCAGCCTTTTATTAAACGAGCCGATAAAATCAATTGCACCAAAACTGATACAATGCTTCGTTTTTTTATGTTTACACCCTAAGGTTCTTCCGCGACGAATACAATATTCATTCACTCAAAAGATTTTTATATTATAGAGAATTTTTTCTGAAATTGGTCCATAGTGTTTTGAATCGTTCAATTATTAATGAATATCATTCGCTTAATTATTTGATTATTACTTTTCGAGATATTTAAAAAGAGCCATGTTCTATTACTGAATGTGCGTTAACCCTTGACCGCTGGTTGGGAGTCCAACCGGACTTACCTTACAGCTTTTGTTTCCTACTAGGTTAGTACTCATATTTCCGAGCTGTTTTCTTGCCTTATCGTCAGTCTTATATCTGTGCATAAGAGGCATATCAAACTTTGTGAATACGTCCTATGGACACAAATCTGGAGTGTGGGTTCATATGGATCCCATAACAACTGTAGCTTTATACTTAGGATCCTTTCCAATAGAAACCTCTGTTTTTTAAAACTCTAAGTTACTACATATTTCGGTATTTGTGCGCACATTTGCCAGCATGTGTTGGGCAGATGAACGATTTCATTCAGAATGCATACAGATGCAATGTGCCGCGAGGATAATGGGATGCCGAAGGGTTCTGAGAGATTTCCAGAGAGTCGGCTTTTCAGTAAACCTCTTCATTACTCTGCGACCCCTCACGAGGCATCGCGTCTGGATGCACATCGAGTTCTGGGTAAAATGAGACCTTCCCGGACTTTCGAGCGTCTTTCTAGGCTGAGTTATTGGCAAATCTCTTAAAGGATTTCGAGTCAGCCGGATCTCTGAAAGTAAAATGGCCTTAGCTTCGCCTAGAGATATCCTAGAAGGCTTGAGGGCGCCTCATTGGGCTCAGAATTTGACGTTCTATCAATGCGATGCACTTGGGACGAAAAAACCTTCTAAAAGATAAAAACTTCTGAAGGGTTCTCGAAGTTATGATTTTTTGCAAAACCTACTTGGAAAAGTCCAAACCTCTCAAACACATTTCTAGCATACTCAGCACTGCGTTTTACCTAGATAAAACATAAAAGCAGTTCTCTAGTTGGAAATATCACTGAGTTATGGACTCATTAGTGAAAACGGACGGACTTGTCCGTTTTGGCAAGGCTTTTAGTAAAAGTCGAATAACTTTTAAACGAAAAAGGTTTTCGAAAAAAGCTCTTTGTTGCTTTGTAGCCTATTCTGTGGCTCATCTAGCCATGCCAAAATATTGGAGCTGCAATTTCCCACAAAATCTCTGAAAACCTTGTAAGAAGAGGGTGTCTCGGTTTTGGCCTGTGCTTTAACTGCGTTATCAAAAACGCAGTTTTAGAGCTAGAGTTTCGGAAAGTACATGGCTAGCTTCAGTTTTCAACGCTGAATCCGAATATTCCAGTTGCAAAGCTCTATAACCTTAGGAGGCCAAATTACAGAGCTTTTTCGTAAGAGAGCAGTTTTGGGATTTTTGACTCCCTCTCAGTATTTTGAGGAGATCTCGACGACTAAATGATTTGGGGAGTCGGGGTAGCGATATTCGTGCTCTCCATTGAATTCTCTATCGAACGGTGTAAAAATAAACGAAATATAGTTTTTACTGCAAGTCCCCCTTACGGGCATCTTATACATATCTTCTTTTTTCTAAGTTGATTTCTAAGCGAATAATATTTGTTATCTGATCGGTTTACATTAGTAGTCGCGGGCTTAATACATGAATGATAGCATCGGATTCATCTTTTTAAGGCTAAAACGGACATCGTTCAGGTGTCTCCATAACGGCTGAAAAGATTATTGCAAGGATACAAGGTTTTTTGTTTTTATCAACAGCAATTTAAACCTGCGATGGATATGTGTATGATGGCCTTCAAGAAATCAGGTGCACATAATTATTATTTGGGTTACGCCGTGTCTATATCAATACGTGATTATCGTCTATCTTCGCACACCAGTTTAGTTTGAGGCGAAATATAACCATACACATTCTGAAATTTATCGTTTATCTCTCGTTAACATGGACATGTTTTGCAAATGTTTACAAATATCAAAGTTATTCTCATGTACTTTGTACTGCTAAAAAAGATCTGGTAACACCTTCAACCGACCAACAAGTGTTAGATGTAGTATCGACAGCTGTCAATCAAAGTCGACATATTAAAATTTTAACATCTCATCATCATAGTATAACGGATATTCTATGTACAAATGGTATCGCAATATCATTAACAAATTTTCAAAATTATAAGTTAAATAAAAAAAATTCCATAGTCACCGTTGGTGCTGGAATGACACTTTCAACATTTCTAGAACTGTTAGATAATGATGGTTATGCAATAGAAAATATGCCCTCTTATGGGGATATTACTGTAGGAGGACTATTAGGGACAGGTAAACCTTGTTTAACAATCCAGAATGATCAAGTGCTCTTTCTTCGGTCATTTTAGCTGCACATGGCTCATCGCTAAAGCGTTCCGTGCCAGCTGATTTGTTGGTTCGTATAAAAGTGATTACTGGTCAATTACCATTAGGAATTCAATATATTTCAAATAAAGATGATCTAAAAGCATTCAAGAGTCATTTAGGGGCATTAGGTGTTATTTTAGAATGCGATATACGTGTCGTAAAATAATACAAAGTTAAAGTTTTTTCATCACAATTATCTGAAGAACGTTTATTTGATAATTCTGTAACAAAAATGGCTAAAAAGCATGATTTATTTTATTTTGTTTGGTTACATTCAGCAAAATTAATCATTATAACAACTGGTACTTATTTGACAAATTACTCAGCAATAAAAGATAATGATAAATGGAATTTAATAACAGATGTAAATGCTCGACAAATTCTCACACAAGGTTCTATTTTCGAACAAATTCAAGCAACATCAAATAAGTACTATGCGCAATAGAGTCACAACGGCATTATCTAGAATAAAAACTGTTTCCGAAACACAAGTACCACTATATACTATGGTTAATCCAACAATAATTAATAATATGACTGGTTATGGATTATTAAGAAATCCGGCTACAGGTTATTCCCATAATATGTTAAATGCAAAGTGTACATATTGTGCTCGAAAAAATAAAAGAGGAGGAGGTCGTATTTACAACACACCTAATCTTCTAGAAAGAGACTGGCTGTAAAAGCACTAATGACACGCAAGGGAGAATTGAGTGTTTGTTTGATTCTAAAAATTG